TAAATTGATGAAAAATGTATAGTTAAAAATAAATAAATAAATAGTAAAAAATTTGATATGCATGTAATACTATTTTAATGAGTAATATATAATTGAAAATGAGTAATGTAAAAAAATAATAGGAAAATTGGGACTCAACTAGGTTAACTTAGATACAACATCAAATGATTCATTTAATTAAATCTATTAAGTGCTGATGCTCTAACTTCACTGGTACTTTAGTATTATTCTATCAAATATATAGGTTGCATGGTCAGTATCTAGTACATTGTCTAACATAAGCAAGCACAACATCCTTCCCAGTGTCAGCCATCCACATGTATATTACCAAAATATAAAACACTGTTTAAGTTCACTTTTGGCTCTTAATTACAATCGATTCAAGTCCTCATACTAGTAACCATATTGGAAATGAGCCGTGTGCCGAGCACTGAGCTGTGTGCACAGCTCGGCACACAACACGGCTCACAGTCCCCTCACATCAGGAGTGTCCGCGCCATTAAAAAAAGGGTGCGACCCCACAGCACATTGAGAGGGCTGTACAAACAGCTTCTTCCATTGGAAATATGTCATAAAAATTAAACAGTAAAACCAAAACGAATTCTCGTTTTATATTACATTACAACGGTAAACAAATATTACACCAGAAAGGGAGAAAATTGAGCTCCTGTTCAACAATAGTCATTACAAAAAATGGTTACAACCTTGCAACTTTCTTACTCCACAGCTAAAACCAAATACAATAAATAGGAATATATTGTAATTAAAAAAAGTTATTGACTCATTTTCCTCAGTTAGTAGCATATACACAAAGATGATGATCAACCACATCACAGACCAAGGAATGCACATTGTTTTTTTGCATGCTCTGGAATCAACTTCCCCAGCAACTCCACAGAAGCGCCCTTGAGTTCTGTTGAACAAAAAACGAAAGGAAATCACCCAAATGTACATTTGAAAGAAAGGATGGCATAAGAAAGATGTTCAAGGAATGCGTTCTACCGTGTTGCTTAAAGTTGAACAATGGAGGAAGAAAACGTCCATTTGGCAGGCGAATGTTTGGATCACGCAACTCATCAAAGAATGGGTGAATCAACACCTCTAACTGCATTAAGCGACCAATAAACGAGAATCATGGAAATGAACTTTCCGTCGTTGACAATTTCAATACAACAATTATGTGAAGATAGATCGACGAAAATGATTTTTTGTACTCACAGCAGAACTTCGTAGATTGGGAGAATATTGCAGAAGCCTTGACACAAGATCCACAGCTTCTGGAGGCGTGCGTTTGTGAAATATCTGAAGATGAAAATAAAGTCAAATTACCCATTCAAAGAATGACCAGTCGAAAAGAGGCTCATGCAGGCTGCAGCTATATCCATTTTACCTTGTGCCATGGGTGTGCTTTAATTTGTGGGAATTTGAACTCGGTGTAATTGGGATTCATACATTTTATCTCCTCCCTTGTTGGGCTGCCCAAAACCTATATGCAAAAAGACATATTTCAATAGACCAAACTATTAAATCCGCAAAAGAGGGACAAAAGGATTGCCCTGCTCATAATTACCTTGATAATTTCAACAAGCTGATCCACTCCATTTTCACCAGGGAAAAGAGGCTGAAATCTCCATGGAAATTTTCTTATCAGAATCCGAACATAACTTCATTTAAATTGAGGAAAGACGAATTTAATGAACTGATTAACCAACCTGTCCCAGCAATAACTCAGCCAATACACATCCAGCAGACCAGATGTCAATGGCGGTAGTGTATTCCGTTGCACCAAATATCAGTTCTGGAGCCCGATAATATCTAGAACATATATATGAAATGTTTGGCTCTCCTTTAACCTAAACATTAAGCCGATTAAAATTATATTATGGCACCGGGATATTAAATATAGGAAAATATATCGATTGGAGAAAAGTAAAGATACCAACCAAGACTTTCGCACTTCCAAAGTCGCATAGTTTCAATTGATGAGTATGTGGATTGACCTGTGAATCAAAGATACATGGCAATTAATGAAACTGAACTTCTTTTTCATGAAGCAGGTAAAGGGGAAGGGGTTTGGGGTTTGCTTGTCAGGGCACATTGCCGACACAAATGCTTCATCAACTTACCAGTACATTTTGAGGTTTAATGTCCCTGTGACATACCCCAATACTGCCATGGATATAAGCCAGTGCTCTAAAAATCTGCACGAAAAATGAATGAATAAGAATGGCTCCCAAAGTGGATGATTGACTCATTCCATACTAGAAATAATTGCAGGAAATCCTTTGATAACACAGATTCCGATTTCTCAATGATATTCCACAATCAAGACAATTGACTGGTAGAGAACAAGTTTATCTCAATGATGCATTAAGATTAAATACAAAAGTTAGACCAAAATATAAACATCAGCAATGGAAGTGAACGTGCCTGATAAGCATACAATTTCACATATATCATTGGCATTCTCTGTTTCATCTTGCTATAGTGTCTAATCACCCGATGAACAGTCTCAGGAACATACTCCAATACCAAGTTAAGGTAAAGCTCATCCTTCTTAGTCTTAGTTGTTGAAAAGAAGCAGTGCTTTAAAGACACAACATTAGGGTGGTCTATGAGACGCATGGTTTGTAGCTCACGGTTCTTGTATCTCTTGTCTTGAAGAACCTTTTTAATTGCAACAGTTTCACCCGTCTCTAAACATTTTGCCTGCGCATAGAAGGTTTAAGAACACTGAATCTATCAACTCACTGAAGACATATATTGAAAAACTCATAAACACTTGGAAACAGCATACCTGAAACACTACTCCGAAAGATCCCTGTCCCACTATACGCTCTGCCATATAACTTACAGTCTAACAAAGCACATGTAAATAATTAAAATGGAGAAGAAGCCTATCGACCGTTGCACAATATAAAAACTAAGATGCCAAATATTACCTGCTTCGGCTGTCCATTTTTACCACCAATTGTTGACACAATTATATGGCCAGTTTCTGCCCCGTTACCGTCTACAAAAGTTGGTTCGATATCCTGATATTGATAAGAATGGTGCATAACATAAGGACTACAATAATTGTAAAAACAATTGATGAAATAGTGATTAGTGAATAATAGAAAAGAAAATGCCAGGTCATCTACCTTGTCGTCCCTAAGCTTTATATTATTCATCTCATCTGGTAATCTATCTAGACCAGCAGTATTTCCACCGGGTTCTCCAATACCAGATGCAGGAGCTACATTTGCTGAAGCCATGTTTATCACAGTATACAACACAAAACGGGCTTTCCCACCAGATTTGTCTCAGATCAAGAAGAAGAATAACCCACCTGAAACAGTCATAAGTTAGAGCAAGGCAATTTAAAAAATCAAACTACTTGAAGTATATAAAAATGCATCGTGCCAAATTAGTCTGGGCCTTATCATGATTAGCAAGGAGTGCAATGTAATCAACTAAAAAACTATCCCATAATCAATAAAAACGCTCCACTCCCTTTCGTCCAACATTCAATCCAGATTATTCAGATTCAGAATCAATTTGAGACGAAAAACTATATCTATATCAATTAAGTTTGTGAAATTTTCTAAGAGCTGGGCTAAGAAGCGGAAAACCCATTTCACATACGATGATAATTGAACAATATCAGGAAGCTAAAAAATAGAGGAATTTTTTCCTTCGAGATAAGATTTTGTAATTGTAAATCACACATGACAGCAAACACCTTAACTATAGAAACAAAAACCAAACTTAAAACTGAAAATATGCTAAGATTTCCAAAACTCTTAGTATTGATCACTCATTAAAAATAAAAAAACCTAAACTAAAAAACAAGATCATTTACCATTGCCATTGCATAATGAGATCTAAAAAAAACAAACTAGGATTAAAGAAAATAAAAGCAAAAAGATAATATTCAATAAACACTATCAGAAATTCGAAAATCAATTACGTTTTATACATTTCCTAGGAAAATAAAAGCCATGGAAACAAACTCTTGAGAGAAAATTGAAAATAAGAACTGTCACTCAGTAGATTGAACAGAACATCAGACACACACAACCCAGTAAATGAAATTCAAAAACCCAGGAAGAGGAAAAAAAAATTACGGAAATTATTCAGATTGCATACCGATTGATGAATGTGTCTTGGAATCCTGAACAAAATACTTTTAGAATTTTATTTTTATTTTTTTGGCTTTTCTGTTTTGGGTATTCGGTGTTTTTGGTAATCGATCGATTGTCAATTTATCAGTCAGCAAAGGGCCATTTTATATTCAATGGGACCAATTCTTTTTCTACTTTTCTGAGTCTGCAGTCCGTACTTTTTGACCATTCAACCTTTGCTTTTTTCAAAATTTTCAATGTTCATCGCATCAAAAATCAAAGACCTATTCTTTAAATCAATCCACTGATATACGGCGCCGGTTGTTTTCCATTTGAAGGTTTAGCCTATGCATGCGCTGCTTGTGCAAAAATTCTTGAAAAAACGTGATTTGTAACTTTTTTACACGTGGTTAAGTTTATTTTAAAGATAAAAATAGATGTATGTAATTTTTTATACACAAGTGTACCCACCCTCTCACGTGAATGGTCCCTCTCGAGTATGGACACCCTATGTATAAAATATTATGTACTCCTAGCATTTTCCTTATTTTAAATAGGAGGAGAATGAAGTCCATGTTTGCTTATCGAAAAATGCTTTTTATACGTAACTATTTACATAATATCTTACATAATGATGAGATATCAAAATGCAAGTGGGAAAATCCTTTGATTGATTAGATTTTGATCAAATTAAATTCCGTTACTTTATTTGTTGGTAAAGTATTATGTACATATAGTATAATCCTCCCTTATCTATCATTCTTTAAAAAATATCTTTTAAAGTTAATCCTCTATTTGACCATATACTTTAAAAACTCATTTTTTTCTAAATTTATTTTCAATTACATATTCTTCTAATAAAATAATTTTGCACGTAAATTTAAAATTTTTCCTACTTTTTAACCATACGTTGTTCAAAAATCACTATTATAAAACTCATTTTAAAATAAATGGATCTCAAATACGTCCTAAATGTTTGAAAGGGCATTAAAAAGCTTAGTCAACAATAATATTTACTGCTTTCACTCAATATTTTTTGGTCAAATAGCTTATAAACTACTATAATTTAAGGCGATTATAATAGCACAGCATTTTTTTTTTTTTTATAAATACACTACATTTTAATTATCATAAAGATCATTAACCTTTATTCATCATTATACTTATATTTTTAGTTTTTTTAGTTTTTTTTTTCATCACATTCTTATTTTTAACATTTTGATCAAAAAATTTTATCCTTAATCATGACTTTTATTTAAAAATATTGTTAAAGTGCAATAAAATGAGGGTAAAATATTTAATCGAATGTTATGCATTGCTATTTATTTTGCTTATTTAAAAATACAATGACCAATTGAGACTTGTTACTCTATTTTAAAAAAGAAACTATAATCATTAACAATTTATGTTAATTTGAGAATAGAAATACAATGAAAAAAATTGAGACTTTAATGTGCTAAAAGTTTATATACATTTCATGCAATTAAAATATAATCTTATTATTAAGCCTATGTTTCAATCCCATTTTAAAAGGGAAAGTATGTTACAAAATTGTGATTTTTTGGTAAATATGTGGTTAAAGGATATATATATATATATTGAACTTGCATGTAAAATTATTTAAGATTGAAATTTTATAAAATGGAACTCGAACGGGGCTAAAAACTATTGTGTGAATATACTTAGCCTCTATATTGTTTCTTAAATTTCATTCAATTGAAATATCTTAAATATCTAATTTCATAATGCTTGGTAAAAAGGCATACACTCAATATTTTTTGAATTAATCTACTTGTACATTAAATTTGTACATTACGTTTGACACTCTTCTACGTGTAAGAAATTTGGCCATCAATTTGAATAACTGTTGTTAAAATTTATGGTCATTATGCATCAAATAATGTCAAACATGATGTCATACTTAATGTACATGTAACAAGCTCGACATTTTTTTTGTCAATTAACCTTTAGTCTATTTTATTTGGGGGATAATTGCAGTAAAAGCTTCAAATTTTTGAAATATTAGTAGACTTTCCATAAATCTTTAATTTGTTGCAACTGTTACCTCCAACCTTTCGAAACGTTGCAGTGGAAGCGCTTCTGGACGGTTTCTATCCGTTTTTCAGTCAGTTGACCAACTATTTATCTTTGATCACATTTTTAATATTTTAAAAATGGGCAAAGAAGTATCTTTTCATTTATCACATTAAAAAATTAAATTAAAAAATAAAAAACAAACACGTATAACCCCGTCTTTTTCCTCTCACCCCTCACGCACCCTCGCCCTGCTCCAACCTAACCCGAACTGAAACCCAAAATCTACACCGACCACTACCAAAAGCAGTGCAAGTAGAAGAAGAGGCAGTGTTCCAAAAGCAAGTTTTGTTTGGGAGAGCAAAATGAAATCTGATCAAGTTAAAGGTGGGATTACAGTGTTCGATGCCACATAAGAAAACTCTGATGAAAACAAAATTAGCGGTGGCAGTAGTGTTAATAATACTGAGGTTCAGGATGATATAAAAGTGAATATGAAACCGAAGAGGAGTCCTATGGGGGTGAGTGGGAAGAGAAAAACTTGGAAATCAGAGAAATTGGAAGGGAGTCCACTTCGGTTTGCAAGCCAAAGATCTGAATTGGGAAAGAATTTGGATGAACAGTGTGAAGAATTGAGTGTTTCTATTGATCGGGATGGGAATGGGATCAAGAAAAGCCCAATTCAGTTTAAGAAAACAAGATTTGCATAATCATCCCAAAAAGGGACTGTTGAGCAATTTGGTGATGCAATTGAGAAGAATTCAAGTCAATTAAGGAAAGTTAAATCAGATTCCAACGAGACATTGACTGAGATAGAGGTGGCGATAGTTGTTGTAGATTTTGGGTTTGTCTTTGAGTCCGGGGTGGGGTGGGTGAGGGGTGAAAGGAAGAAGATATGGTTGTATGTGTGAGTGTGTGTGTGTGTGTTTTTATATTTTATATTTTATTTTTAATTTAATTATTCAACGTGATGAATCGAAAGTTACCTCTTAGCCTCTTTTCAAAATATTAAAAATATGGTCAAAGTTAAATTTTTTATCAATTGACGAAAAAATGGATGGAAACAGTCCAGAATGGCTTTCGCCGCAGCATTTCGAAAGGTTTGAGGTGACGATTGCAATAAATTAAAGATTTGCGGAAAGTCTACTAATATTTCAAAAGTTTGGAGCTTTTGCTGCAATTATCCCCTTATTTTGTCTTAAATAGTCTTAGTTTAAAATGTCTAAAATGTCCAATTTGAAATTAAAATTACCAAATCCCCAAAACATAAATGCCTACTTTCATTCTCACTTTCATATTCAATTTAAAATTTATGGCAAAATGGCATGCTGCTTTTTTAAATGATTGAATATCATTTTAAATAATTTCGTGTTTGTTTTACTTTATGTCTCTGTGTCCACATGAAAATTAATAAAAACAAGTTTTAACTATATTTTGAGTAGTCTGGGCCTTATCATGATTAGCAAGGAGTGCAATGTAATCAACTAAAAAACTATCCCATAATCAATAAAAACGCTCCACTCCCTTTCGTCCAACATTCAATCCAGATTATTCAGATTCAGAATCAATTTGAGACGAAAAACTATATCTATATCAATTAAGTTTGTGAAATTTTCTAAGAGCTGGGCTAAGAAGCGGAAAACCCATTTCACATACGATGATAATTGAACAATATCAGGAAGCTAAAAAATAGAGGAATTTTTTCCTTCGAGATAAGATTTTGTAATTGTAAATCACACATGACAGCAAACACCTTAACTATAGAAACAAAAACCAAACTTAAAACTGAAAATATGCTAAGATTTCCAAAACTCTTAGTATTGATCACTCATTAAAAATAAAAAAACCTAAACTAAAAAACAAGATCATTTACCATTGCCATTGCATAATGAGATCTAAAAAAAACAAACTAGGATTAAAGAAAATAAAAGCAAAAAGATAATATTCAATAAACACTATCAGAAATTCGAAAATCAATTACGTTTTATACATTTCCTAGGAAAATAAAAGCCATGGAAACAAACTCTTGAGAGAAAATTGAAAATAAGAACTGTCACTCAGTAGATTGAACAGAACATCAGACACACACAACCCAGTAAATGAAATTCAAAAACCCAGGAAGAGGAAAAAAAAATTACGGAAATTATTCAGATTGCATACCGATTGATGAATGTGTCTTGGAATCCTGAACAAAATACTTTTAGAATTTTATTTTTATTTTTTTGGCTTTTCTGTTTTGGGTATTCGGTGTTTTTGGTAATCGATCGATTGTCAATTTATCAGTCAGCAAAGGGCCATTTTATATTCAATGGGACCAATTCTTTTTCTACTTTTCTGAGTCTGCAGTCCGTACTTTTTGACCATTCAACCTTTGCTTTTTTCAAAATTTTCAATGTTCATCGCATCAAAAATCAAAGACCTATTCTTTAAATCAATCCACTGATATACGGCGCCGGTTGTTTTCCATTTGAAGGTTTAGCCTATGCATGCGCTGCTTGTGCAAAAATTCTTGAAAAAACGTGATTTGTAACTTTTTTACACGTGGTTAAGTTTATTTTAAAGATAAAAATAGATGTATGTAATTTTTTATACACAAGTGTACCCACCCTCTCACGTGAATGGTCCCTCTCGAGTATGGACACCCTATGTATAAAATATTATGTACTCCTAGCATTTTCCTTATTTTAAATAGGAGGAGAATGAAGTCCATGTTTGCTTATCGAAAAATGCTTTTTATACGTAACTATTTACATAATATCTTACATAATGATGAGATATCAAAATGCAAGTGGGAAAATCCTTTGATTGATTAGATTTTGATCAAATTAAATTCCGTTACTTTATTTGTTGGTAAAGTATTATGTACATATAGTATAATCCTCCCTTATCTATCATTCTTTAAAAAATATTTTTTAAAGTTAATCCTCTATTTGACCATATACTTTAAAAACTCATTTTTTTCTAAATTTATTTTCAATTACATATTCTTCTAATAAAATAATTTTGCACGTAAATTTAAAATTTTTCCTACTTTTTAACCATACGTTGTTCAAAAATCACTATTATAAAACTCATTTTAAAATAAATGGATCTCAAATA